CAACCGGGACCCCACACACACTCTCTTCGAGTTGTGTATAGTGAACATGACAAAACATACATACAGCATAATCACTACCTTACCCTTCCCAAACCACATAAACAAACGAACTACGGGCTGCGCACCCGTGCCCTCACGATAAGTCAATAACAATGCAGCCCTAAGGACCCCCTTCTTTTGGTCCTCCGCAAAAAAAAATAGTAGTACCGGTAGGGCAACCAAATAGCTGTTGGTCCTCCGCAAAACTGCGAAGGGTCAATTACCCCACAACTTCCACCCCGGTTATACCCCGTTTTGAGTTGACTGGTCGCGCGCTCCAAAAATTCACGCCACCTTGACACATACGCGGCAAACCACTATTCTGCAGCCCTAGGGCTGCGAACATTGGAACATGCAGAGGGTGCAGACCCATGAGCCTGGGCACTGTTGAAGTCTTTCTTTTACTTCAAACCCATCCCTCAGAAGAACGACCCACCCTTCATGAGGGCCACTGTGGAAGTCCTATGGTTCCTTCAAGCAGTGCTGTTGGCAAGACCTGTGGGGCTCGGAGCCTGGGATCGAGGAAAGCCACCTCGCCAAGGATTGACTGGACCACCTGGAATGCATGCCGCCGTCCTAACAATCCTTCGAGTGCTGCAAGGAAGCTGCGGGTTGGCCGGGCAAAGGGGAGCCAAAAAGGATTCTGCCATGCTGTGCTGTACTGCACTGCACGGGCACGACGCGACCTGGTGCACAGACATGCAGCCAGCATTTGAGTGGGCAAGCAGGTGGGCTGAGCACGAGAGACGGAGCTGTGTGGCGTGGGTGAGATACCCTTCGGGTGCCCAAGAGAGAGAGCACGCATGAGCGACGGAGGGAAGGATGAACGGGAGGTGCAAATGTCATCATTATGGTTGAAACCCAGTTATATGGTATAAACCCAGTGGACACAACCGAGTGAAGCTGACACACACATTGTTTGGCGAGGACAGTACGTCAAGGCGAAATAAGGGGAAAAAGGGGGGGGGGGGGGGGGGGGAGTGGGAAATGCGGTGGAAGTGGGTGCCTCCGCTCGTGCGTAATGGGTTTGGGCACGGACGAGATAGTAGGTGGTGAAAGGAACATGCTGGGGATTTGGACCTCCCGTTCTGGGAGAGTACCTAGTACATCGTCACCTTACTCTATCCATCGCCTTGGTACTTGCTAACGGAGCCTCGTTGCGGCTTGCCATGGCACTCGGTATGCTTACGGGGATGCCATGGCACTCGGTATGCTTACGGGGAAGCTGGTAAACCTCTGATTGATCGAGTGAGCATTCGGAAGAAGTGCCCCTTTCGACGATACTCTCTTTGTACCCCCCCTGATTGTTGGTCCTTTCGGGCATCCGCACGCCAATATCGTGTATCTGTCTGTTTGCTGTTCCGGGCCCGGGGGGGAGCAAGGGACTTGAACGGAGCGCGGGGTTTGGCCGTCGTCCCCGCCTCTGCTTCTCTGCCTCCTAATCCGGTTTTTCCCTCTTCACTCCTCGCTGACGCTCAATCCACGGGGCGAGGAGCTTCGCCGAGCTTCGGCTGGCAGGCTGGCCTGCCTTGGTACTTCGCCGCAATCACGGCTGCACAACATTGTGGCACGTACTGAGAATCAAGAGGTGCCCCGTCCGCAGTCGGACTGCGTGCTGCTTTCTGCGGGTGTGTGCGCTTTTTGTGTGTCCGTCAGCAGGTTTGCCCGCCACCAGAGGGAGAAGAGGGACAGATTCAGAACATGCACACACACGCAAAGGCGAACAGAGTAGGGTCCCAGTGTGTACGCGCTTCCGCAACAGAGACTTTGGGTGGACCCCTTTGGTAGACAATGGCAAGTGTTGGCTGAGTGGAATTGAGGGAGAGAGCAGTTCGGTTGTGCGTACTGCGTGGAGGTGTAAGCGGACGCCGGACTAGGGCAGGGCTCATCATCTCCCCAACGTTGGGAGTGCAAGACGGGGTGGAGTTTGGAAGGAGGGAGAAGGGTGTGTGCAATACGGCGGGGGTGAGCAGCGGGGGGGGTTGGGGAACAGGGGAGGACGGGAGCACCGACCGATCGGGTGATGCTGGGTTGTTGCTGTAAGAGCTTTGCATGGGACGGGGCTCCGGGCGCTGCGCTCGTTACGCTGCTGCGGAGATGAACACCGAGGGTGATGACGTGGCGCAGGCTTCTGGCATTGGTGATAGCTGCGGTGGGGCGATGGAGATTGCTACGGGGTCTGGCGCTTCTCATGGAGCCGGCGTAGGTGGCGGGCTTTCACTAAGGGGGCAGCAAAGCAGTGTAGTGGCAAGGGGCGGGGGGGAGCAAGCGGACGAGCTGCGCGATGGAGGCGGCGCGCAGGGGCAGGAGTCTGTGGCGGTGGAGAAAAGGGGGGATTTTGCAGCCGTCTGTCGATGGACGCTTGCGCAATTCGCCAAGGTCAAGGCGCGTGCACTCTGGAGTAGATATTTTGAGGTAGGAGGTTACGATTGCAGGTTATTAGTCTATCCTAGAGGCGATTCTCAAGCTCTTCCTGGTTATTTGTCCATTTATTTACAAGTCACGGATCCTCGTGGCACCTCTGCGAAATGGGACTGCTTTGCCAGCTATCGACTGTGCGTACTCAATCAGCGAGATGAGTCCAAATCCATCCAGCGCGATTCCTGGCATCGCTTCTCGGGGAAGAAGAAGTCGCACGGTTGGTGCGACTTCACTCCGTCGTCCACCGTCCTGGACCCTAAGGCCGGCTTCTTAGCGAACGACGCAGTGCTTATCACTGCAGAGATTTTGGTCCTTCACGAATCCATCTCTTTCTCGAGAGAGAATGAGATGGCGACGAGCGTGGGGCCCGTGCCAGAGGTGCTGAGCGGCAAATTCACGTGGCGTGTGCACAACCTCTCCCTCTTCAAGGAGATGATTAAGACTCAGAAAATCATGAGCCCTGTCTTCCCCGCGGGGGAATGCAATCTTCGCCTCAGCGTCTACCAATCCTCTGTCAATAACGTTGACTATCTCTCCATGTGTCTCGAGAGCAAGGACACGGACAAGTCGGTGACCCCGGAGAGAAGCTGCTGGTGCCTCTTCCGCATGTCCGTCCTCAATCAGAGGCAGGGTATGAATCACATCCATCGGGATTCCTACGGCCGTTTTGCTGCAGACAACAAGAGTGGGGACAACACCAGCCTTGGCTGGAACGATTACATGAGGATTTCAGACTTCGTCACGGGGGAGATGGGGTTTTTGGTGGATGACACGGCAGTGTTTAGTGCGTCGTTTCACGTGATCAAAGAGACGAGCACCTTCTCGAAGAACATCACGCCGAATGCGAGCGTGGGGGGGGGCGGAGGCGGAGGGGCGGGCCGAGCGGGGGGCGCGAAGAAGAGCGATGGTTTTCACGGCAAGTTTGTATGGCGGATTGAGAATTTCACCAGGCTCAAGGATCTTCTGAAGAAGCGGAAAATCACTGGACTCTGCATCAAGAGCAGGCGGTTTCAAGTGGGCAATCGGGACTGCAGATTGATCGTCTACCCGCGAGGTGGGTGGGTGCTCTCCCCTTCAATTCCCCGTTTCCTAGGGCGATGCGCAGGACCACGGTCA